GGGCCATCCAACCCACACACCCTGTGCTACCTACAGGGCCATCCAACCCACATACCCTGTGCTACCTACAGGGCCATCCAACCCACATACCCTGTGCTACCTACAGGGCCATCCAAGCCAGCCACTCTATGCTCTTTGAGGTAGATCCACTGACTGAACTCAGCAGCTAGGCTGCATGGCTAGTGAGCTCCGGGGATCTGCCTGTTCCTGTCTCTTTACTACTGAGATCACAAATGTGCCTCAGTATCGGGCTTTATCCTTATGAGATTGCTAATGACTTCAGGTTCTTTATATTAACATAATCAACTCAAGAAATCCTTTTTTTTCACTCAGGGCCTAAAAGACCTGTGCCCATTGACACTTTAATGTTTTATTTTTTTAAACACTTGACATATCAGTCCTTCTAGACTTGGGATTTGTGGTTTGAGTGAAGTTCAGCATCCTGTGCACTTTCTCGTAAAGGATTTATTTTATGGTCTCCACGTGTTCCAGCCCTCTCTGCTTGCTTCAGCAGTAGCACTGACCAGTAGACTTTCGTATATGTATTGGCCTGTATTTCTGTTCAGTTCTTTGTTCCTCTCCATCCTCTCCTTCATCCTCCTCTTCCTCTCTTCTCCTCTCCCCTCTCAGTCCTTCTGTTCCTCTTTTCCCCCTTTTCTTTTCTTCCCCCCTTCTCCATGCAGACATTCATCTCTTACATTTAAGCCAGCATGGTGGTACATGCCCATAATTGAACATTTGGGAGGTTGAAGCAGGAGGCTCAGGAACTGGAAGCCAGATTCAGTGACAGCAAATTCTTGGTCAGCCTGGGCTGCAGGAGATGACATACACCTTCCACTGAGAAGAGACATCTTTGAACCTTAGACTTACGTATGCATATGTAGATTTTAAGTACTTGTTTTCCCACTAGGTTTTGGACATAGTAAAATCAAGTATTCGTACAGTTCTTCCAAGAATCTGGAGGGTCCCTGATGCTGAAGAGCTGAGTCTATACCGGATTTTCAACAGGGTATTTAATCGCTTGCTCTGGAGTCATGGCCAAGGGCTGTGGAGCTGTTTCTGCGATTCAGGGTAAGTTGGAGTCATTTTATTTTCTGTTACTGCATTTTAACTATTTGTTATTTAGTCATAAAGGTAGACCATGGAAATGGTCAAATGTCTTAAATAATAGTCCTTTAATACAAATTTTTACCGCATATAAGTGGAGTACTTGAGTATAATTTATAGCAATTAAGCTGACTGAAGTGAGTCAATAGTGAGCTCTGGGTTCAATGTGAGAGCTTCCTTACAAAAGTAAGATAGAGAACAACTAAGAGGGGCAGCCAGCATCGAACTCCACTCCTCAGGAACACATGCAGAACACGTGCGTACACACAGAATATGCATACCACACACATACAACATGCATACACACCACACACACATACATACACACTATACACAAGCACATACATACACACTATACACAAATACTGCACACATATACATACTGCACACACACAAACACATACACAGACACTTATACACACTATACACAAGCACATACATACACACTATACACTGCACACATATACATATATATACTGCATGCACGCACACACACACACACACACACACACACACACACACTTATATATGCATGCACAATAAAAGAGACTTCTGGTCAGTCTTGCCCCCAGTGTTTCATCTCCCTGTTTTATCTTCTTGCTTACACTCTAGCAATTGTTCTTGCCTGCTGTTGCGTCTGCACTTGTCGACAGACACAGCCGTCTAAGCACTCTCCCTAACTTCCTTGTGCCTTTTTCTTATCATTTCCTGTTCTGAGTGTAGTCTGTAAAAACTCTTCATTTTTCAAATATCTTAAGAATCCATCCAGTCTGTGTTATTTGAGTCCAACCTAGAGGCCCAGAGTACACTTATCTCCCTTATAAAATCTTAACATACTGTTCTTCTTTGACACGGTCTCTGAGCTGCATTTGCATGTTCTAGCCACGAGACTGACTCCTCTGTGCCTTGTGTGAATCCCTTCCCACCACTGTGTGCTTCTCCTCATCTGTCATTCACCAGTGGGAAAAGCACTCTGGATTGCAGTGACACTTGAGGACAATCTTGGCTATAGTGCATTTCTACAGAGATTTGGATGAAACATTACAGAACATCTGTGTTCTGTAGCCCCTCAAATGATTGTGCTCTAGAATGTGTTTCTCTCTGTCTGAACCTATTTTATTTGGTTTGTTTGTGCATCCTTTGGTTGAGTGCTACATTGGAATTTCAGCTCCTGCCCACCATGGAAGGCTGTGAGACAGTATGCTACTTATGCTGGGTGTTTGCCAGAGTCAGCATCTGGAGATATACATCTGCTGAGTCAGCATCTGGAGATCTACAGCTGCTGAGTCAGCATCTGGAGATATGCATCTTCTGACTTCATTGACCACAGGGCTTTATTTCCTCACTCGTTTTTTGTAACATATTCTGGTTCGTTAAGGCTCCTTCTCACATGCTACTAGTATAATACTCTGCAAATTTCTGTGGTGGTCTCTTTCCCTACAAATACAGACAGCAGTTGTAAGTTAAACTTATTGAAGGCTTACTAGGCAGAAGACAGTTGTTCACATATTCACCATAACAGTATCTAGAGTAAACTATTCCTGTTACCTCACGTGACAGATAAGGTAACTAAAACACACACAGAACCTATCATTTATCGAAACTCCTGTAGAGATTTGGTGAGCCTTCATTAAGACTCAGAAAGCTTGAGCTGAGATTTTAGAGCAGGGCTGTGTTCACTGTCCACAGACAAGTCTACGTGAGTTACCAAGCATTGGTTACATCAAGTCCCAGCAAGTTACTCCTGAGCAGGAGGAGGAGGGATACTCTGAAGTTCAATGTGGCTTCACTCTGCACCCATTTCTTGCACGTTGGTGGTTTTAGATGTTTAGCTTTGGGTTTTATTAGACAGCTACACAATTGTACTTTGTTGGATTCTTTGACTCTATGAAGCCACGTGCTGTTGCTTGTCTTTGATCCTCTGTTTGGATCTTCTGCAGTTCTGTATCTTCTGAAACTTTTACTGGCAGTGTGTGTGTGTGTGTGTGTGTGTGTGTGTGTGTGTGTGTCTTTAACAGCTGGTCTGACATCTACAGAGTCAAGGTGAAAAAAATCTAGTCTTCTAATTTCTTAAGGATTGATTTTAATTTTAAAAAGTGTAGCTTTCTTGGTCAATTATGTGGAAAATATTAGACAAATATAATTTTAAGTAACTCTAGGACAGCTTCGTACCTGTCTGCTAACACACCCAATAATAAGACAAAACACATAAGCCACCTCACCTACCTCCTGAGACATTGAACTATATTATAAATCGTTCTTGTTGGTTTCAATAAATTCAGCCCAGGGATTTTGTACCAGATGGCAAATATAATGGTCCTTCTTCTCTTCTTGAATGCTCATGGCCAAGAACCCCTTGGTTCTATATAGTCTCCTGGGAGATTTTTTAAAGATATATTTTTTAAAGATATATTTTATTTTAAAGATTATGCATACATGTGTGTTTGAGGGCGTGCACATGTGAGTGCAGGTGTGCATTGGATCCCCTGAAGCTAGAATTATTGGCATTTGTGAGCTGCACAGTGTGGGTGCTGGTATCCACATTGGGAGAGCAAGAAGCCCTCTTAACAGAGTCATCACTTCAGTCCCACTCACACCCAGGAGGGTTTTATTGGCCCACATTCTGACTGTGGTAGTTTCATGAGGAGTGTGGTTTTGGAATTTTATAAAATAAAATTATCTACCATGTTTTTCTGGACTGAGGGAATTCTAGATTTCTGTGGCCTCTAACTCAGGAAAGATAGATCTGGCAGGTAACATTTCAGTGAGACCTACAGGAAGAATGGGTGTTGACTACATAAAGCAAGGAGGAGGATGGGGGAGTGATGGGGAGGGGAACTGGGGAGGAGGGAGGATGGGGAGGGAGGAGGGAGGAGGAGATGAAGAGAAAAAGGAAGTGGGAACAGCTAACAACAGTATGGGAGAGGGAATCCAACAGTTCTCTCTCTCTACCCAGAACAAGGAATTCCGGTTTAGACCTTTTAGCCCAAAACATGTTCTGTAGGAGTTTGTCATATGGAAGCTGTATTATTTATTTTCAAGATTTTAGTTCAAAAATAAACTGTAAGAAACATTCTTGGAAGGTTAATAGAGAGAGACAGGTACAGAGTTACTAAAATTATATTTGTCAAAGATTTCCCACATAACTGAACAAGAAAACAACACTTTTTTAAAAAAAAAATTAAAACCATTCCTTGAGAAACGAGAAGACTGCATTTCTTTCACTTTGATTCCATAGCTGTCAGACCAGCTGTTAAAGACACACACACTGCCGGGTCAGAGCTTCAGAAGGTACAGTAGAACTGCAGAAAATCCAGACTGAGATCCAAAGAGAAGCAGCAACACATGGCTTCATAGAGTGGCTTGGTTTTAGGCTTTGAGTTACCCTAGTTTTAAAAACAACATGTGTGAAAGACAGACGTTAGGTGATGTACCGTCATCTGTCATCCTTTATGGCTCTCCCACCTGGCTGTCTGTGTTCACAGTAGTTCTTCAGCTCTCAAATCCTTCTTCTGGTGATTATTCACACACTTGAAAGACTGTCCAGATTTTTAAATAGACAAAGCAAAACTGTTCTTTCTCTTCTGTCCACTCAGCCATTAATTTTTCTTTTGGAATTCATCGCTTTTATTTTTTTAGAATGTAGATTTAGAAAGTGGGCAACGAGATCCTGGTTGTTGTTTGTTTGTTTGTTTTTGTGGGTTTCCTTCCAGGCCACAAAGGAATAAATCAGTCCCCCTCTTCAGGTAAATGTTTTATTAAAAGTTTCCATGAGGAAAAGGATGGAGTGACAGATTATTGAACCACAGGTGGACTTTCTAAGTCTTGAATTTCTCTTTGTTGTAAGAAGTATTCAGGTCCTTATCCCTTGTCATTATGTCAACGGGAATGTCATCTAAAGCCACTCCCTTTAATATTTCTCAGAGGATTAGGGAAAAACCAAAAGCACTATTTAATCATTTAATTTTTCTTTTGGAATTCATCGCTTTTATTTTTCTTAGAATGTAGATTTAGAAAGCGGGCAATGAGATCCTGGTTTTTGTTTGTTTGTTTGTTTTTGTTTTTTTGTTGTTTTTAAATTTGAAAGCACTGGTATTTCTACCTCTTCTCATCTCCTTTATCCTTGTAGAATCAAACCCCAAACCAACCAACCAAGAACCCCACAAAACTTTGTGCTGTTACTTTGGGCAGTTGAGATTCAAGGGACAGCGTAGGAGTTTTCATAGATACCCTTGATGACAGGCTCTCGCTAAGGGGGAACAGTCTGTGTCTCTACCCCAGCTTTCCTGTGCATGGAGGAAGCTCTGTAGTCTCTGAAAACAGGACACAGGCTTTGCTCATTCTCTTTTCTCTGCTGGTTTTGGTACGCTCACACTTCAACATAACTTAATAGACTGGACTGAAGTGTTCTGCCAGTGATGTCGAATGCATACACAAGAAGTGGGCATAGGACACTGACATGTACATTCATCTTGAAAAGGGAATGGTAGCCCCGTGAAAGCTGCTCTACCACTGCCAGGTATGGGCAAGCTATCTTGCTTACCATGGGCAGTTGGTAGCATCGAAGGACTTAAAGACTCACGTCACCCATTATGTAGAAAGTTACATCAAGTTAAAATGTCGAAGCCCCCTTTTTGTTCATCCTCTCTTTTCATCCTCTCTCCCATCTAAATTCTAAGGTCAGTAGAGAAAAATAACTGTGACATGAAAGGCCTGGTACAGGTCCACCCAGAAGGCCTCAAAGTATAAAAACATAACCAATCTTGTTCAAAACAGAGGGGGATGAGATAGGCAGACTTTCATAGACGTATCAGGACCCCAGCAGAGAGGCCTAGATGGGCAGTCAAAACATAGGATACTTTCTGTGTATTTGCAGGCATATGTAATTTTATATCTGAGGAATTTTGACCTTAGCTCAGACATTTAAGGCTTTTTAGATTATGCATATTAAAAACAAATATAAATGCTAATTATCTTCTCCAGTGTTTTCTTGGTTCAGTTAAGTAATGTACCTGTATTATCTATTATATCTGTAGCCATAATATATATCTTGCTAACACACATACACGTATTGTCATATATTTAGCAATACATTTTGAGTTAATTGAGCTAGTGTTTAATTGTTTATTGATTAGAAATATTTATGCCTTTGATAAGATAAAAAGTATTATATTTAGACATGAATATTTCCAAAACCAGAAGAAAATCCATTTCTTTCAGTTAACTCACTTGAGCTTTGACCCTGTAAGAAAATCTGTCATTTGCTGATGACATGCTGTCTTTAGGACCATGGTTTTGTTTTGTTTGTTTGTTTGTTGTTGTTTTGTTTTCCTTAGAAAATAAACAGTAGTCTTTCTAGAGAAAACAAAACAAAACAAAACAATAAACCTCAAACACTTTTAAATGTGTAAAGTTTTTTTTTAAATTTCAAATACATAAAATAACCACAGAAGGTTGAAAATTGAGTCATTGAATTTCCCATTGGGATTTTGTTTTCTTTTGTTTTCAGGAAAAATGGTTTTTCCTTAATATTTTTTTCTTTGTGAAAACCTATTCTTTCCCCTGAGGATTACACAAATTGGTTATTGTTAAGAGAGACTTGAACCATTATGAAATTTCAAGCTACTTTCCCCTCAAGGTTTGAAAAGAGTCCCCCCTCCTCCATCATTGCTAAGGTATCTCTGAATTAAGCCTTGATATCTAACTTGGGGTTTGCTAACAGTAGCACACAAGCAGTGAGGCTTTCCAGGAAATTATGAGCGGTTCCCACTGCAGAGCAAGTTCCCTGGAAGAGGAGGGATAGCAGCTCTTATGTGGGGGTGAGCACCTGTTGGGATACATCACTACTAGAGCACACACCTGTGCCTGAGGAAGCCCAAGGGATGGAGAGAGAGAGAGACTATTGTGCACAGGGTGCTCATAATCAAGGGGTCAAACTGAGTTTCCTAGAGCAGGGTGGCCATAAAGTAAATCACAATGATTTTATAATCTCTTTGTTTCTTGTATCATGTTAAATATAGAACTTTAAAAAAGCCCAATCCTAAAATACCTAAAATTAAATTCACAGATACTTTAATATGGAATAGTTTCACTGTTTAAAAGCAGGAATGAGTCATTTTCTTAGCTATTCATGTTGGTAGCATTTATAGCCTTAAACAGAAATCCTATAGTAAGTTGGGTTTTAAAAAATGAAGACTAATTTCCAAATTTGCATCTATTATGAAATTTCTCATATTCCCTACGTATGCGAGGGATCATTTTTACCTTCTTCCCCAGTTTGCCACTAGACCAGTGATGTGGCTGGTTGCCATTTTTAACAGTGAATGTGAAGTTATGTCTGTTGCTATGCCAACAGATCCTCTTGGGAGAGCATCTTCAGTAAGAGCCCGGAGGTGGTGACTCCTCTGCAGCTCCAGTGTTGCCAGCGTCTGGTGGAGCTTTGCAAGCAGTGCCTGCTGGTGGTTTACAAATACACAATGGAAACAAGAGGACCCATCTCAGGCATTGGTCCTGACTGGGGGAACTCCAGGTATGGTTTACACTCTCAGTTCCAGTGAGTTTCGTGTAGACACATGGCTTAGCACAGTTTGAAATTGAGAGTCTTTTAAAATTAGAAGTCCTTTTATACTTACATAACCAGGGAACTGAAAATATACCCATGCTATAATCTAGAAAATAGTCATTTGTACAGTCTTTGTTTTTTTTTTTTTAAGAGACTTAACAAGTACAGCAATCACCAACCTAAAGGTGGTAGATATAATGTGACAGGAAATTAGCGTATTTGACTTATATATTCTTGTTTCCAAAAGCTAGGTAAGAGCACTCCAAACTGTTGGAATAAATTCATTATTATTCCCTAATAGGGACATTTCAACATTCATATCTGAGACAGCACAGTTTAGACAGTGCCTTTGGCTTGATTTTATTATCCAGCGTGCCTCAACCAAGACATTGCCAAACCGATCAGCAGGGTACTGAGTTTTGTAACGCTCTATTTCAAAATCGAGTTTCATGCCTGTTGAGTTAAAACACGTAGTTTTTAAAAGTAGGAAACACAAGAACAGGCAACTGTTAAGATGCAAGAATATAGGTAAACAAATAGTCCATTTTAGATTTTTCTAATGCCATTACAGTACCTAGTAGAACTAAAGATGAATAGTAACTTCCAGTATTTGTTGCTGTTTGGTTTAGCGATGGGGAATCGGATCACAGGATAGTCAGGTTCTCTATGCACTGAGCTACATTCCCAGTGTTGTAGCGCTACTTCACGTAGAATGATGTGAGTTGTGAAAATAAAGTCATAGTCTAAAACGAGTCAGGGAGTAGGTTAATAACTCAAGAGCAAATGGAACCCCTGGACATAGATACAGAAGACTGACCTCAGAGAGGGCACTGAAGCCCTCTCTACAACAGTGGTCTGTGACCAGAAAGTGATTTGGAATATTTTTCCCAGAAGAGACCAACACACATGCTTGTCCTAGACTTTGATTTTTGTACACTGAGTAGGATGTTTAACCTGTTTTATCCCTTGTGCATGTAGTAGCCTAACGAGCATAGCAATTCTAGAGACAGAGTTAACCGTGAGTACTTTAACGTTATATTGCACAGTTTTAATGGGAAATAAAACTTTCGTTAATGGTTTTGTCTGATTTAAGCGAATGATAGCCATTATGTTGATGTTCAGGCCCAGAAATGAAGAGCCTTTTCTTTAGGACGTAATATGCCGTGCGTGACCATGAAGGCTCGGAATTCCACATGGGAGGAATTTGACAGTGCTCTGTAGCATCCTTCCTGCAATTCTAGGCACTACAACTGAGTTTCCATTGATGGATCAGAAAACTTTGGTGAGGAAGGCAAAGAGAATAGTTTTCTGGTCAGTCTGGAGGAAGAGGTCACACCCCACAGTTGCCTCAGGTCTTCTCTTCTAATCTTTGTGGCCTAGAGAGGTATCGTTGTCTTGAAATCTTCAGTTCACACTTCCAAGAGGCGCTCAGATGAACCCAGGGTTACGGGCCTAAGCACAGGGAGGTGTCAATAAGAGTATCATCATTCCTGCTCATGTTCAGAGCCCTTCATTTACAGCAGACGGATTTCAAAGTGGAATTTTACTGACAAGCCTTACTGAGGAAATGATGGAGATGACTCCTGTGAGTGTTCTAATGCACGATTAAGCTTATCTTCTCGAAGGCAGAGTTGGATGAACACGAAGTTTCTACTACCATAGCCTAAGAAGTTTAATTCCTTCCATGTGGGCTGGAGGGCAAGTGAACATGCAATTTCTCTGCATAAGCGCTAAGCCAGGCAAGCTTGTATCCTCCTCTTAAATCCACCGGTCAGATAATGCAGTTCTGGAAAGAGGCCAGGACCTAGGGAGAGTTAGCTCTTCATGGAAACGCAAGGAGTGGAGGAAAATAAACATTTGAGTGCAACATCTAGCTATTAAAACGCAAATGGATGTCTCAGCATCTGAAGAGCAGTAGTTTTCTCTCACCGGGAAATGAGTCTATAACATTCTACTTTATAAAGTTTAGCTTCTAATAGATTAATTGCTTTTATTTATAAAGCATACCTGATACATATACGTGTAAATATATATGTATAAATTAATTACAAATAAGAGTGTACATAAGCATGTATGTAACACATGCATTCATGAATTAAGCTTGAGTACTTTTATGAGGAGATATATCTTTGGAAATTTTATCTAAAAAAATAAAACAAAAGAGAAACAATTGTCATCACCCAGTTTTACAGACCTATGTATGACAAGGCCTTGAGCAATATTTCCTAAGATGTTTTAAATATTATATACAAGGAAGTGGTTTCTGACTTTGAAACCTTATAAAAATAACACACCAATAAAGAAGACACAGCCCTTGTATGTCTCATAATAACCAAACAACTGGAGTTGTTCTGGGAAGTAGGGCTTGTGTTTAGAGATATGCACGTGTCTGTGCACTCTTTAGGATGCTAACGTTTGAGACTAGCTTGATGGCCCACTCTACTAAAATTGGTAAACTATGAGTTCTCAGACTGCTTTTTTGTGTCTAGATTTATATGGGTTCACTGCCAACCCCACCTTGAGAATGGAAAAAGAGGGAACTTAGCTTCTCCTTTTTTTTTTAAGACTATTTACCTATCTTTGATACCAAAAACCAAACACAGCTTTAATAACAAAGAAAAGCAAGTGTTCTTTCTTACCTATCAACATAAATGAAAAATCTGAAGCTATGCATTAGCAAACTGAAACAGCATTAGCTAGGGCAGTCCTCATTCAGCTTCTTCTTGAAGCGCTGGTGATAGATTCCATAACCTGAAGAACTGATTGAAGTCTTTTGCTACCCAATAGAATAGATGAGCAGAGAGATGGCTGGTTCAGAGAAATCACTTTATCAAATTTAGTGATAATTGTGATTAGAACACTGTTTATCCAGCCAGAAAAGGAAGAGAAGGAATTTCTGAAGTTCAGTGCAGCATAACTGCAGAAGCCACATAACAAACATGCCTAAACACCCAGGCATCCCTTCTCCAATGAGGAAGAAGCCATGGCTGCCTGGTATACCAACGCTTGTGCAGCCTTGCAACTGAAGGGCCTAATAGTGTCCATGACAAAGACGGGTATAAGGCATCGGGTTTGAAGTGAAGTTTGAAGAACTCTGGATTCTTAAGCATCTATTGAGAAACAAAGTAACTTTAACAAACTTGATGAAATCAGTCAATCTGAGAGAGTAAATTATTAGTTTCTTAGTAACATAGAGCTAGACTATGAAAATGTAAGTGCAACATCCATACCTTGAAAGAATTTCTAATAATTAGGAACACATCTAATGAAGATGTATAAGGTCCATATATAGGAAAACATAAAAATGGAAACATAAACTTTAATAATTAAAATCACCATTATAATATAATTTTCTCTCCAATTGTCCCATACAGCCATGGATCCAATGTAATCTTAATGTATTTTGCGGCATATTTCTGTGTTTATTTTTGGTAGCAGAAATATTGGTCCCTAGCTTGTCGTAGCATTTAAAGTACAGAAGTAAAAAGAAAAGTAGGAAAGGCAATCTTAAAACACAAAGTAGAATTTGTAGACTATTTGTAGGAAAACCTTTAACTAAGATAAGGTAAGTTAAAGTGATACAAAGCTGGCAAGCAGGAGGACCAATTGAGCTCTTGTGCAAAGCCTTAAGCCAGCCCAGCCCAGACATACCTAGGGACTTGATTTATGACAAAAGGGGTCCATGTTCTTTAGAACAAGTGAGGGAAGGAAGATTATTCATGCATCAGGCTAGGAGAGTTGGATTTCTAAGTATTCAAGAAAAGAAACCCAACTTTATCCATTAAAATGAGTAGCTATGTAGGCAGACATCAAGGGTAAAATGAAAGATTTCCAAAGATAATTAAGGATAATATCCTTATGAACTTGAGAAATTAGAAAAATATCATCAAAAGTGTTAATCTTAAATGAAAAGATGGATGTATTTTACATTAAGATTAGGTACATATATGAATAATTATCAGCACAGCCTATTAAAAATGAAAAAAAAAACCAACAAAAAGCTATAGAATAGAGAAAGATGCCTGCAATCCATATGTTGCATGAGAAGATTGTAAGTGTTACAAGACAGGGGATGCAGGATTGTAATTCCAGCATGCAGGAACAGAGGTATATATAGAGAATCAGGAGTTCAAAGCCAGCCTTACTATATAGCAAGTTCAAGACAGCCAGGGTTCCAGAAGACCTTATCTCAGAACAAAAAGCAAAATACAAACAAAAATAAAGTCTGGTAGAAATTTTATACGAATTCTTACAACTTTTAGGAAAATGAAAAAAAAACAAAAACCAACCAACCAAAGAAGCAAAACTCAGACCACTCAATGGAAAACGGGTGAAGAAAACTTTTAAAAGGGCGCAGTAAACATTTAAAGATGTATATAAACAAATTAGTATTCAAGACTACAGAATACTAGAAGAAAATATCCATAACGCTGCACACCAAGAACACCAAGAAATGAGAATTACCTTCATGAGAGGAAACAGGAAAAATGGTGACAGTTGAGCATTGCATATGGCATTCTACCAGTTTCATAGCCTCTGTGCCAGCAATTTTCCAGTAGAAATGCATAATCATGAACACAAATACCTTTACTTCAATACTTATGGTATGATCTACTCATACTTTTTAAAAAATTAGAAACAACCTAAGTATACAACAGAAGAATAGATACCTATTCTCTAATGTCACGCAATGGAATGACATTCAGTACTGGTAAGGAAAATGATTTACCTGCATATACAAGGACAGAGGCTCAAATATAAAATGGAGCAAACTTATCCAGGAACAAAGGAATACCTGTTTCGATTGACTGTTAATGAAAATAAAGAAGCAAAAACAATCTTTAAGGAAGACGGATTTGGATGGAAAATAAAGATGTAAGTGCCACAAAGACCAAGATGGGCTTACGTCCATGGGAAAAGAGGGTGCTGTAACTCTGAGCTCAGGGATCCTATAGATTCCCAGCTGC